GACAGACAGACAGACAGACAGAGACAGAGACAGAGAGACAGAGACAGAGAGAGACGGAGAGAGACAGAGAGACAGAGGGGGGAGGAAGAGAGAGAGGGGAGGGTCTGAGAGGGAGTGGGGAGAGGTGGGTGCTTGCTAGTCTCCTCCAATCCCAGGAGCAGGTAATCTCAGTGCAGTTTCCAGATGGGCTGCTGGTGGTGCCGCCCCAGGAGCCTGTTACCTCGGTGGTGGAAAGTCACCCAGGGAACTTGCCTCATAAAACCACAGGCAGAATCAAAAAGCTCCACAAGGCCTTAAAAGACAGGAAGGTTATGGAAGTGAGGAGGAAGAGGTGAGGATATAGAAAGCAGGAGATGCCAGAGAATGAGCCCATTTCATTCGAGAAGTTGGACTTGAGCAAAGACAGAAGAAAAAGAGACTAGCTCAAAGCTGCGGGCGGGTGCTGGACGGCGTTCCGAGAGGCGCGCTGGTGGTGACCCGCAGCGCCACCGCATCTGTGCCGGGGTTCCCACCACCGCAGCCAACTGCGCTCCCGCCTCCACCCCTCCACCCCAGCCTGCAGCTCAGAGGCACTAAGAGAGTGGAGAGGCCCTGGAGGAGAGAGGCTGCTGGCGATCTTGAAGGGAGCTAGATAACATTCTCTTCGCTAAGTGTTTCCGACGCTGGCTGTTCAAGATTTCCCAGTAAGAGGTCAAGTTCACCGGGCTGCTGGCCTAAGGAATTAACATTGGGGTGGGGTAGGGGGAGGGAGGATTTAACAGCCCACTGCTAGCATAGTCTAGAGGGCTGAGGGAGAGAGCCTGGCTCCTCTGAGCCCTTACCAAATACAGCAGCGTCCAACTGTGTCCAAACCACTGAGCTTGCAATGAATGCCACGGTGACTGCAACACGCAAGCCACGGCGTTGTCGGGGGGTGGGGGTGGGGGACACAGTTCTAGAGTGAGTGCTGCGTGCTGCGGACCTTGGGAACCTTCTCAGCCAGGCTCGATTTCTGTCTGTTTTCCAGGACCCTTGAAGAGATGCGTGCCGTGCACAACCCTTTGGCCCCTCTGGTTCCACAGGCTGGTGGGGGCATGGCCACACGCTGCGAGCACAGGCTGGAAAATAAAGGCGACTCCTCCTGCTAAGGTCTGGTGTGAGTGGATTGAGGATCCGTGCTGGAACCCGCCTAGAATTTGCAGACCCTAGAAGCAGAGTCAATTCCTGGCGTTCTTCCACCGACCGACACACCACAGATGCCGGTGAAGCAACTGGTTTGGCTTGAGGACCGGCTTTTCTTATGCTTGCTCACAGGATGATCAGGCCTTCGGCTTGGATGGGACGATCTGGCCACCTGGTGGGGGGAGTTTGTGGGACTAATTTGTCTGGAAGCCCGCACTATCCTGTGAACTTGATCTCTTCTCAGCCGTGTGCAGACGTGTAAACCACAGCCTTGACCGGCGATCTCAGCTTGCTGGGGAGACAACACCGGGTGACAGAACACTAAAAGCTCCTTTCTGGAAAGGCTCAAATACAAGAGAGGATGATAGTACATCTGAAAGCTTGAAAATGCAGCATAAAAATAAAACAGTGCTGAGTTTGTCTTGGCTTGTGGTAAAACTAGCTTTGGGCATCCTTCCCTTAGTACCTCCAGCCAAGGTCGCCTCAGTGCGCAGATTGATCAACAGGATAGATATCATATCCTAAAGTATCTGCCATGATTGCCTCCATTTGGATCTTAGGGCAATAACTCAGAGGAGGTTCTGCTGTCTTAACATTCGCAAATGCACAAAAGAAACCCCTGCAGCAGAGGCTGCTGCAGTCATGATTGGGGGGTGGGAAGGGAGGGGAAAGCCTTTTTCAAAAAGCAGTATGTACTCATACATTTCCAGAGACCCAGTTCATTCCTGTTTAAATTCCCAGCAGATAATGAGGCCAAAAAGGAGATTCCAGAAGGATCAGCTAGAGAAGAAAAGGGCATTTAAGGTTGGCTTTCTTTTTTTTTTTTTTCTTTTAAATTAGATCCCAGGACAACACGTTTGTTTTTAATAGTTTTGCTCCAGAAATCCACTACTCTTCGGGGCATAGACAATTTAGTCTGCCTTCCAGGTCTCGTGATTTAAGGATCTTTTAAGCACCACCTCCCATCTGCCCCACCTAAATATCTTCATCACTTCCTGTCGTTTAGGTTTTCTACATAACTAATCATCTCGGTCTTTCTCTAGAAAGCTCCTTCAAGTTCAATTGCTTAGCTCATTAGAAAAAGGCATGTCTTACAAGCACTTCCAAGAAGTGCCGCAAGCCTAGTAGAATGTGCCTCATCTGTCTGACCGATGAGAAGGCCAAGGTACAGTTAAATCAGCAATGATGCACAGCCATACTCGCCAAGAACAGAAGTGTCAGAACTGGAATTCTGAGTTGCTCTCACCATTCCTTGCTAGGGTTGAGAGTGGCAATCAGCAAACTTGCCTAGGAAAACTGTGAAAGCAGGCCTCAAAGAAATAGCATACAAGAAAGAATGTTGGGTTATCCTAAAGAAGCTCATTGCTTTTTTCCCCCCTAACCTTGGTCACACTCGCAGTAGATCTCTTTGCCCTGCACCTAGTCTAGCCCTATTTCCTACTCTAATCACAATGGGTCTTCTGGTGTTCTTAAAAAAATGAAGACTTATAAATTCTTTAGGAAATCACTGAAAAGATTGTAATGAGATATTTTGTAAATGTCCCATTTTGGACTGTCTCACAAATATCAGATTTAGGGGAATGTTAATAGAACATGAAAAAGGGTGAGAGAATGGGAAATCTCACTCTTATGATAGCAAAACCAGTGCACTGTTTCTCACGTGTCTCTAGAGTGACCACAGAGACCGCATAGGCTATAAGGATCTAGCCTTAACACCTAAAGCAATACTGGACACTTGGTTTTATGTCTAGTAGTACAGTATTTACCATATATACTTACATATGTATAGTTTAAGAATTTGGGGTAGTATGTGAAGATGACATAATGGTCTTTCCTAAGAAACGGAATGGGTAGAGTAGAAAAGTTATCAGGTTTTTCTGTACTATAATTTTTCCTAGTAGTATTTTTCAAAGACTCTGTGTGTGTGTGTGTGTGTGTGTGTGTGTGTGTGTGTGTGTGTGTGTGTGTATGTATGTGTGTGTTAGACTTTATTAGGATTAAAAACTTGGTTTGAGGGAAAATCTCTACTGGGTCTCTTACTAGAATGCTAAAGGTCCTGCAGTGCAAGTCCATGTCAACCTCATCACTGGAACCTAAAGTGGTCTTTTTCACCTGGTCTCCCAGATGCAGACCTGAAAATCATTTATCTCTGGACATTTGTAGAGATGGGAAGTATCCTGCTGCTGAAAAGAATACTGACATCCTAGTGACAAGTTATGTGGCAGGTGTCTCTGATTTATGTTCCCACCATACCACTTGAGCATACATACTTGGGCATATATAATCTGAAGGAATATAAATCATGCAAGTGAGATACCTACATACTCAATGTTGTGCAGCTCTGTTCATAAGAAAGAGCCAAACTGTGAGGAATCATCAGAGGTGGCCAATAACCAATGAATTGATTTTTTTTAAAAAATGACATATACATATACATGCAAATACCTCATGGGGTATTAATAAATAAAATGAAATTATGTCATTCATGGACAAGTGGATGATCATCATGTTGAATGGTATAAACCAAGCTCAAAAGTAAAGTATCACATGTTTTACTTTGTGGTATCTAGACCTAAAATGATGATGATAATGATAAGTGATATAAAAGATATAAAAGGGGAGGGGGAAAGGAAAAGATACTGAGAGGTGAAGACTAAGTATGTGTCGTATATTTGAAGGCGGTATAATGTAATCACCAAACACTGATAGGGTCTGGGAATACCACAGACGAAATGTACTGTATACATCTTACAGTCATCAAAATGGACCCCTCTATTATTGTTTTCTTATTCAAAAATGAACTAATGAAGATTGACATCTTCCGATAAGATTTTCCAGCTGATAAAACTTTTAGACTGAAAATTAGAGTATAGTAAGTATGTAAATGGGGGTTCTTTTTCCTACTATCTTCCCCCCTCTTCTGTGAGACTCACACACACAAAAAATAAATATTGTTCACTCAAAGTATAGCACTTAACTCCAAAAACAAATGTTAAAAACTTTACAAGTAATTATTTTGAAGAAAATAGTCATTTATTGTGAAAGCATCCAACATACCTGGATAAACTATAAAGCTTAATAAATCTTTCCAGGGATAAAAGAAACACATAACTATTCAGACTCCATGTCACTGGCACAAAATTTCACTTTATATTAAAAGGAAATACATATTTACATATTGATGACATTCTCCACTGAAGTCCATAATCACTTCATGATACATGCACTTTCCCCTGGAAACTTAAAACTCATTGGCCACCCCCACCCTTTTTATTCGTTTTGCTCATTTTTATAAGAACACAAGCTGTCGTCGAGAAATGCAGAAAGCATCTCCCCCTCCTCCGTGACTTTATATCTAAAATAAAATTTCCCCTTACATAGAATTATTACATCTAAACCGTTAAGTGCTTAATAATTTAAGTAGAAACGTATGACAAATGCATCAATATGTTGCAATATATGACATTTTTAAAAATGTACCTTTGTTTTTTTGGGAAAGTGAAAATGCGTGCATTCAAAGGAAAACGCCCCTCAAACAACCCACCCAATCAGAAATCCAACTTCCTGGCTGAGGTGTGTGGTGTGTATGTGTGTGTGTGTGTGTGTGTGTGTGTGTCCCGGGTAAACATCTGAATGAGAAGGTCCCTGGGAGGGTGTGTCTGTGTGCAGGAATTTGTCCAGTCGCAAGGAAGCGATGGATGGGGGGGGGGGGGGGGTTCCTCGCGTTGTTTGTTCCGGCAGCAGGTGGTGTGTGTTGTGTGAGCGCCAGGAAAGCCTGGAGGTCGAAGGGAGGTGGGCGAGGAGGGGGGGTGGGGGTAGGGGTGGGGATCCTTTCCGGGTCAATTGTGCGAGGTCATGTGCCTGGAGAGGTGGTGGCGCTCCCTGAAGGACTCGTTGCAAATGGGGCACTTGAGTTTCTCCTCCCGCCGCCGCTTCACCAAGGGCTCCATGGCGTACTCCTTTTTGTGGTGCGATCTCATGTGGTACACCAGGTCGGAGGTCATGCGGAAGGAGGCGTTGCACTTGGCGCACCAGTTCTGCGCGGGCAGACACAGCGAGGTGAAGGAGGGCGGCAGCAGCGTGAGCGCCGAGGGCAGCTGCAGCTGCAGGGGCCCCGCCGCGGCCGCCGCCGCCGCCGCCGCCGCCGCGGCCGCCGAGCTCTTGGGCCAAAAGGCGGTGGCGTAGAGGAAGGGGCTCTGCTTGGGCAGGCCGCCCCCGCCGCTCGGCAGGGCCCCGCAGCCGCCGTTCAGCTCCGCCGCCCCCTGCAGCTTCACGGCCAGGGGATCGGCGGCGGCTGGGTAGAGTCTGGTGGGCCCCACGCTGTCGCCTGGGTGGCACGGCTCCAGCGCACCCAGCTTCTGGCCCAGGACCAGCGGGGACAGCTGCGAGAAGGAGCGCGCGGGCTGCGAGAAGGCGCTTTTGCGCTCGTCCGACGCGGCGCCCTGGCCGCCGGCCGCGCCCCCGGCGCCCGCCCCGCCCCCGGCAGCGCCGCCGCCCGAGCCCCCCAGCTGCGGCACCGACGTGAAGGCGCTGCCCCGCGCGGGACTGCCGCCTTCCAGCCGGCTGGGCAACGCGGGGCAAGGCCCGCCGGGGCGCGGGGCCAGCAGCTTCTCGGTGCCCGCGGGGGACGCAGTGGCGGGCGTGGAGGAGCCGCCGCCGCCGCCTGCGTCCTTGTCCTCGGCCGCGGGGGCCCCGCCGTCGGCGGTGGCGTCGTCGGGCTGCAGGCCGCCGGGGCGCGCCGCCTTCTTCACCTCCACGAAGGCGCTGCGCTTGGCCTCGCCCGTCTCCGGGCTGGGCGGCGCGAACAGGCGCCCGTTCTCTTCCAGCCCGAAGTAGCTGCCCGACGCGCGGTACTGCTGCGGGGTGCACACCAAGTCCTCCTTGGAGGCTGGCAGGGGCCGCTCGGCGAAGCGGGCCCGGCTCCCTACCACCCCCGGACCGCCGCCCCCCTCCGCGGCCTCCTCCGGGAATTTCCTCTTCCCTTTGCAGCCGCCGCCCGCGCCGATGCCGTCGGGACTCAGCTCCGCCTCCTGGTGGCCGGGGCCGCCGCCGCTGCCCAGACTCTGGGCCGGGGAGCAGCTACTGCTGCCTCCCCGCGAGTTCTCCAGTTCCCGAGCGAGGTTGTGGAAGTCCGTGGATGGCTTCGCGCTGGCGCCGCCGGCGTTGGCGGCTGGGGTGCTGCTCTCCGGGGAGGGGGCCGGGTAGTGGTGGATGGGGGGCCCGGCTTTGCAGAACTTGGGACCCAGCGAGGCCTCCTGTGGCTGCTGCTGTGGCTGCGGCGGCGGCTGCTGCTGCTCTTTGCCGCCGCCCCCGTGGTCCTTGGTGCCCAGGCCGCCGCCTTGTTCGTCCGGGGGACTCAGGTCGCCGCTGTGAAGTCTCTTGGGGCAGCGGAAACGCAGGTGCGCCACGTAAGGGAACTCAAACTGGAAACGTTGGCTGCATTCCAGGCATGTGTAGGGGGACGACCCTGCTTGGCAAACACCACACACACACACACACACACACACACACACACCGATTTCTCAGCGACGTTCCAGGCCATTTGCCTGCATCCCCCCTTCCACAAATCCACCTTTCTCCCTTTCAGACTCCCAGTGCCCCAAGGAAAGAATCTACTATCCGATCTGACCTCATGCTTCCCGCCCGATTTAGGGGAGCCACGTAATCGAGCCCCAACTTATCCTCACCTGTCTGTCCTGGAAGCTTTCCATCTGAGACGCTTCCTCGGAGATGCCAAAGGTGGGCCAGAAGCACCAGCCAAGGCTCAGGGGGGTGAGTCCCTACTCCCTCTGCGATCCTCTCTACCCAACTAGCCAAGGGCCCACAGGTGAAGTCTTGAGCCAACCTACCATTCATTTTGCTGTGGGATCTAGAGGGGCAGAGCAAGAGTAACTCAGTCAGTTCTTTCCCGTACCAAACTAGTAACTCCTCGTCTTTGGCAATCCTGCGGAGAGAGCGGTAAAACAGCTGTCCGTTTTTGATATACGCTTCGAGGTTCTGCTCTTCCTTGTCTCTGGCTGATTGGACCAGGCGAAGCCACATGAGACCTTCTGAGGAGCCATTCGCAGCCGAGGTGTCTACCTATAGTTGAAAACCGAAGAAAGAAGACAAGAAGAAAAGGAGACCCGCGTGAGAGACGGAAGCCACAGGAGCCAGGACCATTTCTTCTGGCTTTGCAAAGAATTATCTGAGGCCAACCTACCGAGAGTCAAACCAGCCCAAGTGTTTGTAACTAGTTGGCAAGATAACTATCCACTGAGACACTGTAGCCATTATATAGATCGTTCACGTGATCATTTTCATATACTGGTTGAATAAGAAATGAGCAACATTTCTTCTTGCAATGCAGATTAGTGTTAGCCTCTCCAGAATTTGCTCCAAAGCTATTGCACGTTGTTAAAGTAAGTAGAATTGTGTTTCTGAAGTAAAAAGCAAGTGTAGGTCATAGAAATCATTCTATGCCCTCCCATCTTGCTAATTGTGGTTTGAACCGTTAAAAGTGTTTTTTTTTGTTTGTTTGTTTGTTTTAGAGAAAGAATAGGGAGAGGCCTGTTGTATTCGAATTCAAACAGATGGGCTTATTGATATTTTACTGTCAAAACAAGTACATTTTTACTTAAATAGAACCTCTGGGCACTAGTTAATGTTACTGAAGAAACTAAAATGTAGGAAGAGGCCTCTTAAATCAGAATGTAACATGACCAATACTTTTTTAAAAGTACTTAACACCAATACCCTCAGCCCAGTGAAATCTCCCTATTAATGTAGAAAGTCTTGATCAAGAGGAAACCTGTCTGAGGTCTCTTTAGGACCTATTCAGCATCCCAAATCAAATGTTGTCATTTGTTCCACAACAGTCGTTACAATTCGAGTTTTCTTTTCCAATTATAATCAATTACAATTTAAGTATACATTTTTTACTCTTTGAAAAAATTTTGGTATATACACCGGGATTGCTTGCATTTCTGCATTATTTTTTGTCTTCAAAGACTGCACTTGTCATTAAAATGATTCTTAATCGGTTTTCAACAAAATATTACCCCCCATCTGCCTCTGCTGCTCCAGCTGAGACTTACCCGGAAGATATAGGGTACTGTTCTCTTGTCCGTAGACTTGAGCGCTATGAAAGCTATGCTGTCATATAAAGAAGTGTGGCTGAGAACACAGGGACCGAATATAGCATTCTCCGGGATGTCACAGGTTGTATAAACACTGGTAAAAATATCTGTTAGACATTGTTGCACAGCCTTGGCGTCTCCATCCCAGATGCCTCGCTGGATTCCCGAATCCTCCATCACTGGAGACAGACACAAGGACAGGGAAGCGAGTTACACTCTTGCCTTTACCGCTACAACCGCAACCGCAGCCAGAACATTTCAGTTACCAGACATATTTTTAACACACTTACATAGCTCCTTTGCTAAACAAATAAAGCAAAGTAGTCTGACACGTTCCAAATATGCCAATTTTAGAAGTATTTTCCTTTATCTTTTAATGATCAGAAGCCCTCTAAATGCTAGGGAGAATTTGCTTAGAAAGACTAGCTTATTTCTGCATTAGTTTGGGAATGGATGGAGAGTACTTTGGGGATAAAGGCTAAGGAGATATTTTGTTATATATATATATATATATGTATATATATCTCGATCAAATATAGACTTTCCTGACTAGAGAAAAACTTCTTGCCCTTGGGGGAAAGCTCTATTACTCTTGTATATTGAACTCGATGCCTGGAAGCTGGTTTTCCCCCCTTTCTTCCTAAGAGGGAAGCAGCATTAGCAAGCAGGCAGAGACAGTGGAGCATAGCGAATGGATTTCAAGTGGAGTGTCAGGGCCACTAATTCTGTGTCAGCTAACCTTTCTCTGCAGCCTACAAGAAGGGACGTATGTCTGCTCATTACCATAATCCAACACTGTCCCTCTGAGGCTTTAATTAAAAGCAGCAAGCAGAGGTAATTATTTTTTCTTCGACATGCTTATTTATGGATGAGGTTGAATCCCAGTTACCTTGTTATACAAGAGGGTGGATTGAGTCACATGTGGCCCATGAAGTGAGCAGGTATAGGGCAGGCCTGAAGTGTCCCCTGTCTGAAATGTGGTGTGTAATGACTGGTGAATTCTCACTTCCCCCAGATACAATCCTGTTTGGGCAAGAGGGGGCAGCCCTGCTTGAATAGCTCTCCGTGCATTCTCCAGCTGTTTAATCCACAGTAATTTAGAAAGTAATGCCCCAATGGAGGGCTCTTTATTAAGCTGTCATAAAGGGACATTTCGTTTCATCTGCCACTGGACACCCCCCACATGACTATCTTTTTTATCTTAAAAACAGGTATCTGGAGTTTTTTAAAACTAGATTTGAACTCGAGACATTGTTTTACTGACCCACCACATGATCAAATCATAAGTTGATTTTTTCCTAGTAATCTCACCATAGATAGTAATTTATGTCCATTTCGTGTAGTTGAAGTAGCAGAAAAGAGGAGATCTAATTCTTTTATTGCAAAGCCATTGGTGAAAGAAAATACTAATAATGGTTATGGTCACAATGATGACTATTAGTCTTGCAAATGTGATTACAAGGTGGTGTTTGTTTGATTGATTGTGTTTTTCCCTGTTTTGAAGCTAACAGAGCCCAAAACTTTCGTCTCTCTTTTTCCTACTCATTTTCTGCATGTTCTCGGTGGTGAGTGTTGGGCTGCATTTTCCACAGAACAGAAATAAAGAAAATAACCAGTAAAGTTCATAGGATACATCTCGAACTCGGAGCATTTTTGTATGTGAGTATGTGAGTGTGTGCCGTGCAAGACAGTCTAGATTTTCAAATGCAAATTAAAATACATTTAAAACCGAAACAGAACGTCTCCTTTTCAATGGAACCCTCTTCTCCCCTTTTACACGCTGCCTAGTTCAATGTTTTATGCCCTATATTCCCTCTTCTTTTTAAAAAGTCTTTCACACAGGCGTTTCATTGTGCCAGGGGATCACTTCGAGCAACCGCAGGGACGCAGTCATTAAAATGCAGTCCTACCTAACAATACGGAGACCAGGTCCTCGATACGCGGCACTGATAACCGGTCGGGGTAGCTGAGGCTGCTTCCCCAGCCTCAAGCCGGTCACAATAACCGCTGAGCAATAGACTAGGATTGCTCTCGCGTGCGCGGTCGCCTTTGAGACTTAATCTTTCACAGCTCCGTCTGCTGCTCTAAGTCCCGGGTTCTCAACCTCCCAGCCGATTTTCCCCAGAGCCCTCAGCCTTCGCCCCGAAAGCTGCAGCCGTTGCTCCAGCCCTCCTCTAGGAAGGCATTGTCTGGAGGCTGCTCGCTCCCCAGTCCCTTGCTTCCCAAGCAAAGTGCTCCCCACCAGCTCCTCTCTTTGTATAATCTTGTTGGCAACCGAGATCCCCTCCACAATCCTCCCCCCCACCTTTCTGGATAATGAGGAGAGGGGAGGACAACATTTTCCCCTCTCCCCCCCATTGAACCTGCCTCCTTCCCATCCCCCTCCTACATCCATGCAAATAGACTTACCAGGAATAAGGTCAGGATCCAATCGCCCAAATAAGGCCACTTGAAACCGGCAGGACGCAAGCTAGTGTTTCTTTTGGCGTATTTTAATCAGTGTATTTCCATGTCAAGAGATGTCGGTGTTGCTGCTTTGTAGGTTCTGCCTACAGAGAGATATGGAGAGATGGGGGAGAGAAAGAGGAGAGGAGACAAGATGAGGGAGAGAGAGAGAGAGAGGGAGAGAGAGAGAGAGAGAGAGAGAGAGAGAGAGAGAGAGAGAGAGAGAGAGGAATAGAAACGGAGAGAGTTGTACAGATGGACCCGATGCAGTGACTGACTGGCACGCAGACACACACTTTTTGTTTGCTGCACATAATCTGCCCAATGACGCGTGACAGCCCACGTCCCCTCCCTTTAACTCTTTACTGGGCTGGGCGCTCCCTCCGGCGGCGCCTGCCTCCCAGCCTTTCTCCCCAGCCTGCCGGCGCCTAGCAGATACTGAGCACTTTTCCCAAAGAGGCAACACCTCTCTTAGAGCAGTCTGGCTCACCTCCTAAAGGCTTGGGGCCCTTGGGGCTGGCAGAAGGACTCAATCAAGTTCGGGATCTGCAAGAAAGGTATCCAAAGGACTGGAGATGGCCTTTTCCCATTTACCTATCATTTGGAGGATGTAGGACCAAGACCTGGACATGTAGTGTGCACCCAAATTCCGTGCATAATCCCTCGCACTTGAGTTTGGAGGACCAGAGAGGGTTCGGAATAGCCTGGAGAGATTCTCTGTCCCTCGTGTCCCCAACTGATTTGCAAGCTGGTTGCCTGGAGCTGCTAAAGCTCAAAGAGCACCCGCTCTCTTCTGAAGCGCTCACACCTCCAAGCCCTCCCGTGCCTAACTCGGAAAGGGTATGCATTGGTGTGAACTTGGCTTTGCCTAGCGTGTCCCCAGAGATAGGATAAGGGGTTAAAGTGGGGTCACTACCAGACCCCGAAGGGGATTTACAGGCGTTCAGTTCCCAGGACCAGGGTGCCTGGGTGCTGGTGGGAGGGGACGTGGCCGAGAAGAGCCGAAGTTACTGGACTGCAGCCAGCCGGTCACTGCTTTTCCTTCCTTGGCAGGCTGTGTTCAGCGGGGTCCGGGAGGGATCCCATCACGGGGGTAGCAGGGATTGTAAGACTTAGCAGTGGAGGAGAATGTGTCAAACTACCAAATAATGGGCTCCGGAGAGCTCCTCATTTGCAGCAGGCGGTGATGGAGGAAGGAATGGATGGAGTTGCCCGCACCATCCCGACAGCCTACCTAGTTCGCGCGCTCAATCACTTCATAGCCGCTGGCTTGTCTTTTAGTGCCGAAGTGCATGTTAATGACTAGAGGTCCTTAACAGCGTGTAAATTGACTCCTTCCACTGGAGACCACCAAGCGAGATCCACTGGGGGCCACCAAGAGCTTGGGGGCTCTCCGCCTCTTTTCCTTGCTGCTCTGCTCTATCAGCTCCTAGGGAAATAAAGGCCCTTGAATAGTGTGCGCGACCCCTCCATTCGCACCCACGCGCACCCACACTTCTTTCTGTCGCATTCACGAGAACAGTCTCGGCTTTAGGATAAATCCGATTGTGTAGCATACTGGCTGAAGGGCAAGAGGCAGAATCATGATTTAAGCAGTAGGCAATCCCGGGTTCCTTGCCGTAGGGGTTAAAATGAGGTGAGTGTATGGAAGGTTGGCAAAGAACATCTTCTTTTATTAGTTTGATCTTCGTGGAAATGTGAGACCTCTCTCTGGAGCTCAGGGTGTAACAAGGCACCTGTGGTACAGAGGTGCCAAGGAACTTTGAAAAAAGAAAGAGAAATAAAAGGGTGAGGGATTTCCCTTCTCATGGTCTACCACCCCCCTTTTTTTCTGGTCAGTGTCCAATCTTTTTGATTAGCTGAGACTTTTACTACAGTAAGACTCCAGGAAAGAAGGCTATGAAACCTCTTTATGTTCAGAGAAAGGGCAAAAATCTTCCTAAACGTTCAGATTAGTTTCTGATTTTTCAAGAAACCTTGTAGAATTGCAGTTTTCATTCACCTGCAGGTGTTTCTCTTATGCAAAAACAGCTTAAAATAGTGTATCTAAGAACAGAAGTTCAGTGCAATAAAGGCCTTTGCATGTCCAAATCCACAGCTGTATTATTTACATGTAGAAATCTACAACTGTATTTAGCTGCCAACTGACTGGCTGATTCATTGAAATATCTAGCTCATCTCTTCTCTTTTTTTTCTTTCATGTTCTCTCTCTCTTTCTCTCTGTCTCTGTCTCTGTCTCTGTCTCTCTCTCTCTCTCTCTCTCTCTCTCTCACACACACACACACACACACACACACACACACACACCACAAAAGCACCCCCCCATTGCTTCTCCAATGGAAGGGTAGGAGAATTAGAAATGTTGCAAATAATGGTCTTAAACACATTAAACCTCAGGATTGAAGAATAGTTCTCAGATATTTAAGCGAATTAAGAGGAGGGGAGAAAAGAAAAGAAAAAAGAAAGAAAGGGAAAGAGGGTCCACATCCAAAGAACAGTAAGTTAAGTTAGGAAAGCAGTCATGAGAGGGTTGTGATTCTATAGAAACTATAGCCTGGTGCAGTAGGTGAGGGTGGAGGGGTTGAAGAACTTAATTAGTTCCATTAATGAATTAAATAGATCACCCCTTTGTGCTTGCTTTGTATTTTAGAAGATACAAAGATTGTCTTTCGTGGAAAAGGTAATCTGCTCATGCAAGTAACTTTTTAAATAATCATCTTGCTTATTGTAAA